CTCCCCCTGCTACGCGGCCCCAGGGGAGCAGGTGCTGAAGGAGGCACGGTGCTCGGGCCACAGCAACCCGCAGCGCCCCGAAGTCCTGCCCGCTCCCAGGGAGTCACTTGGGTGCTGGCAAAAAGTGCTGCTTATCATTTCTTCCTATGCGGTCCCTCCTGACTTCCTATTGTAATGCTGTTAAAAAGTTTTCTTTACTGAAACAAATATATTCCATTAGGATTATGTCATGAATTTCATCTGGAATAATGAGACTTTCAGTACCTTTTGTGTGTCACCTCTTTTTCACATCACTTGTCTGGTGGCACCAAGAATATTTCCTCAGTGAAAATAGATCCTTTTACCATCAATAACAGGGCGGCTAGTGTTCGCTTTTCTCGGGAAAACAAAAATGTGCACCTTTTATCCCTATTATACTGATCCACCAGCTTCAGATTATCTGACTTTGTGGCTTCTCATTTTCTCCTGTATCTTAATGCTATTATTAACAAGAATTCTGTGGCTAATGGTTTTGGAAAATAATATGAGTGCTTTCAGCTACTACCTCTGTTTTTATGGTTGGTCTGATTTAGCTGGACTTTGATAATTATTCCAAATGCTGCTTTGTTGTGGATCAAATGTGAGGAGCCCTGATGTCCTTCTAGATTTATTTTCAATGTCCTTACTTCTGCTATAGGAGAATAGAGTTAACATTTTAACTATTAGTCACTAGGTGAAAAACTCCTATAAGTGTATAGTCTGTAGTTTATATTTTTAAGTTTATATTTTCTATTTAATATAGCCTATATTCTTTAGTCTCTCTCTCTTCCTTGCTCTCATTTTTATTTATTTACTTTAGGACAATAGTTCTATGAGTATCTGTGCATATTTTTTTTCATGGTGAAATATTTTTAAAAGCATGATCCAGAGCAGGCTCCCCTTAGCTTTTCTGATAAAATCTCAGATGTTAATAGATGTATTGGTAAATGTATTCTTTCGTCAAAAAGTTTAAGAAACATTGCTTTCAAAAAATTTTTACATTATTATAGGAGTACATAGAGCCTTTAATATGCTAATTTGCATTGTGAATCACTTATTATTTAAAGATTATTTAGTATGCAGTAGTTCCCAAACCTATTTGATCATAGAACCCTTTTCAAGTAATTATCCATTTGAAAAAAATGCCATTTAACAGAAGGACAGACGTTAGTCCCTGAGAGCAACATAGAAATAAGTAACTTTCATCATAACCCTGTCATGAAAAAAAATTTTAATTATGTTAAGATACATTAAATAATGGGAAAACAGAGAATTTTATATTTTAGAAAAAATATATTAAAATTATATGAGGGAAAAATTCCTTCAACTNAATTTAAATTGTGTTAAGATACATTAAATAATGGGAAAACAGAGAATTTTATATTTTAGAAAAAATATATTAAAATTATATGAGGGAAAAATTCCTTCAACTACCTAGTTATTATTTACATGGATTTATTCATTGTTAGTTGATGGTAAGTTAAAGTCTTGCTCTAAAATGGAAATTTAATTTTTTCTTTATATTAGTATTAGGATTTAAGAGAAATTTGTATTTCCTAAGAATCACAGAGCTCATCCTATATAAAGGAACAATAATTATTTTAGGTATTTTATAACAATAATTGGCAGCCAGCTAAACATAGTTGCCTGTGTGTAAGCATATATGTCCAAAATTTCTTGAAGCAAAATAGTTCCATAGTGATAAAAAACAAACAAGTCAATAAAGACCAGATTGGCTTAGAGGGGAAAGGAGAACTCCTGGATTGATTATACCCAGATAATGTTTTCTGGAAACGTGCCTTGGAGGGGAGCAACAAACAGAATCATGAAAGAAGGAAAAGAGATCGATTCAGTGATTTCTGCTGAGAGAAACTTTCCTAATTTGGTCAACGGTGGAGAGTCTAAAGAACAGAAGAATAGATATGCTTAGGCAAATAGAAATCATGAGCTAGTCTGTGAGATACAGTAGGGAAAATAAGACAGAATAAGACAGATAAGTTTGAGAAATGCTATTTCATCCTTTGTGTTTAATTTTGCCTTAATTGAACTTCCACAAAATGAATTTATCACAGAATTATTTTGCGTATAAATTAAGAACCCTCACAATACTCCTTGGGAGAACACTGAGCTAAAAGTAACAGGAAATAAGGAGTACTAATTAGTGGACCTCTACCATCATCATTGTTTCTTTGGGACAAAAATGATGAAATTTAGGTGATACAAATTATTTTGTTCTCTTTTATTGTTAAGTTATAAAAATGCATTGAATTGAAGTGGATTTATCTTTCAATATTGTTAAATTTCTGAAATACAAGATCCTTCTAAATACAGGTCATGTAGGTAAGACCTCTTCAAGTAGAATCCTCAGACCCTGTATAATTTTTAAACAAGTAGCCTGTTAGATTATAGTGTGTTGACTCAAAATTTTTTTTTACCAGGGGGTGGGCTGCTTTTTGCCTACTTTAGAAATATACACAGTACTTCTAATTTAGAATTGAGCTACACAAAACCTTCTTAAATATGTTTAATTCTAGTAAAACTCTTAAAGAATTAGTACAGACTCTAAGTCTTTGAAAATTTGGCTTATAAACATTTATTTTTAAAAGCAACATTTTTAAGATTTAGAAGGTTAGCCCAGCCGGGTGTTGCTCAGCGGTTGAGCGCTGACCTAGGATCCAGGAGATCGGGGTTCGGTTCCCAGTCAGGGCACATGCNTTTTAAGATTTAGAAGGTTAGCCCAGCCGGGTGTCGCTCAGCGGTTGAGCGCTGACTTAGGATCCAGGAGATCGGGGTTCGGTTCCCAGTCAGGGCACATGCCCAGGTTGCGAGCTGTAGCTGATCAATGACTCTCTCATCATTGATGTTTCTATTTCTCTCCCTTCTTCTCCCTTCCTCTCTCTGAAATCAATAAAGATATATTTAAGAAAGAAAAAAAAAAAGATTTAGAAGGTTAAACCAGCCCCTCCATCTATATGAGTACAGTTTAACAGAAATCAAACAGGCCAAGTGAGAATCAAGCAATAGCTAAATGAATCATAGTCTATTTATTCTCTTTTCTTTTCACTTTTAGGTCATGATCCTAATGGCAGAACCTTAGCCCTATGTATTGGTTTTTTGTGTTATGTTCTCTGGCTTGCCTGTGAAAGAATGGTAGATGTAAGTAGGGCTGTTTAGAGACATTGTCTGTAGGACTAACATTAATTTAGAGAAAAAACAGAGTTTTTGCGGGTCCTCATAGATTTTTTTTAAAGCCTTTTTTTTACTCTTTAAGAATAGGACTGCCGGGCCTGGTGGCTCAGTTGGTTAGAGTGTTGTCCTGTACCCCAAAAGGTTGTGGGTTCGGTTGCCGTTAAGGCACATGCCTACGTTGCAGGTTCAACCTCCGGTTGGGGCTTGTATGGCAAGCAGCCTATCCATGTTTCTCGCTCACATCCATGTCTCTCTTTCTCTCTCTCTTTTTCTCTCCCTCCCCCCTCTCTAAAATTAATAAACATATCCTCAGGCGAGGATAAAAAATAAAAATAAAAAAGAATAGAACTAAATTCCACAGTTTAACTTGGTTGACAAGTTTCATATTATCTACAAAGATACCATGACAGTTTTGGTTCTCAGTGAAAAACTGTATTATATGGCTACAAGTTTGATGCAAACATTTTTTAAAAAGTTTATAAATTGCCCATAAAATTGCTACATTACTGGAATCTTCCTTCTAAGTCCGTGTGATGAAGGTAACCCATTTTTACATGGAATCACCAGATCTTACATCATTTCAAAGGAGCTTTATGCTTATTTTATGAATAATAAAAATTTTCAATTTGTAATGAAGCCTCAAAACAACCTTAAATATGTGTTTTAAGAAGTGACAATAATAAAAGATTCTTTAAATCCTTGAAAACTTGATCAAAGTTGCCATTTGGTGAGCTCCATCTTATTCTCCATATTCTTAAAAAGTTTAAGATATTTTTCTATCATATTAAAATGGTAGTGTGACTTGATAAGTAGCATAATTATAAAAAGAAAATTATTTTAAGTTGTATTGTTCTTAAGAAAATTAAGTCATGCAGTAACAGCATTGAATTGTGTACTTTACTCAGATTTCACCAAATTACCCCAATAATAAAATAAAAAAATAAAATACTGATCATGTGTTAATTTGTATTTTTATTTCTTTGTTGATCTTTAGAGAGAGAGAGAAACATGGATTTATTGTTCCACTTGTTTTTGCATTCATTCGTTGCCTCTTGTATGTGCCCTGACTGAGGATCGAACCTACAACTTTGGCGTATCATGGCGACACTCTAGCCAACTGAGCCACCTGGCCAGGGCCTGATTGTATATTAATTTCAATTGTCATGTCTTTTAGACTTCTTTTTTTTTTTTTAATATATCTTTATTGATTTCAGAGAGAGGAAAGGAGAGGGAGAGAGAGAGAGAGAAACGTCAATGATGAGAGAGTCACTGATAGGCTGCCTAGCCTGCAACCGGGCATGTGCCCTGACTGGGAATCGAACCCTGATCGCCAGACTTCTTTTGACTAGAACACTTGTGTAGTCAAAACCTCATCTTTGTGTTTCTGGACACAATATTTTGAGGAGTATAAACAAGCTATTTTGTAGAATGTCCATCGATTTGGATTTGTCTTAAGTTTCCTTGTGACTAGATTAAAGTTGTGCCAAACTTTTTAAAAAAATAGAATTATCTAAGATATGACTTTACAACAACAAATCACATCCCTGTTCATGGCGCTGAGAATAAATATAATTTTATTCATCACATTTGCATCAAAGAGAATACTCATCTCCAGTTTCCCAGAAGAAAAGACTCTCCTAGGAAATTTTATATGTATTTCTTAAAGAACAAACTTGGTTTATTTATTGAAGGTCTTGTTAGTTTCAATGGTTTATGGAATCACATAGATTATTATAGTATTTACTGGAAAAAAAAATTACAATGTACTAAGCATCGATCTTCTCTTTTCACAGTTACTCCTGAATACCCACAGAAAGGAAGAAGCTTTGTCCTTTCCTTAGATGAACTCGCATTCTTATCACAGCTCATAAAATCCTTTTTGAAGCTGGAAAAGAATGTTCAAGAATTGTTTGAAGAAATGTTCTTATCACTCAAGATACCCAGGAATAATAAATCAGGTAACATGCCCTTTTGTTTAAATTTATAAATCCATCATTCTCTGTATTTTTGCTTCCTGCCACTGAATCTGTACAATTACTTGAAAAAAAAAAAAAATACATGATACAATTCTTTAAAGAAACATAAAGTCTGAGAGAAACATTAAGTAAAAAAAATCTATTAAATCATAGAATTACATTTTTACCCTTTACACATGGCAAATTCCATATTTCTAGTTGACAAAGCATCATAAGATAATGCCAAATAATTGCCGTTAACTAAAATCAGATCAATTTTTTTTTTAATGCAAAGAAACACAGCCTGGCCTATGAAAAGAATAAGCAGAATTAGTGATCTAGTAGCTCCTCTTGTGCTACTAGCAGCTGGATGACCTTGAGGAAAATATTTAGCTTCCCTAGACCTCAGTTTTCTCATCTTCACAATGATAGTGTAGAACTAAACTAATTTTCTCTATGTTTTCTTTTACAATTAGAAGCTTTAGATTACAATATGTTATGTAGGGCTGTGAGAATTAAATGATTTAGTGTATGTGAATTATTTGAAAGAATGTCTAGCATATCATAAACAATAAGTGTGTTGTTCTAATAGTAATTAGAATTATATAATATGTTACTTTAAGCTTAGTCTTAACAAAATCCTTTTGAAGAAAGCAGTGTCATGTGTGTTGGAATAATGTGTCTAAAACTGAAGATAGAATTCAAAGCCATAATAGTTAAGATATGTTCTCTGTGTTCTTATCTATACTTGTACAGATTTTCATCTATATCAGAATGAACAATATAAAGTTCTCTTTTACATGATACCATATATCATTTTAAGGAGAAAAAATAGATAGTGGCTGCATTTGTAAAACAAAGTTAGGTAAGCAAGTGAATCTGAAAATTTCAAAAGCTGATATCTTAGTAAGGAATTACATTTAGTTCAATATATTTACTTTTGTATTTTTAAATTTACTTTGCCTGGATAAATAATGTTAGAAAAGTTATAGGGTTAAAGTTTGTTTGTTATATATTAAGCATAGCTTACTAGCCTTCTATGTTTCAGGTTAAGTTTAAGTAACACTATTAAATTATAAAGTAAATAATGGAGATCATTTTTCCAAACATGGAGGTGGATTATAGATTTTAGATGCTGACAAAAAAACAACAACATGGGAAAATAATAAAAGTATAAGACACAAAATATGAAAGTTTAAAGAGAGAATGAAAAAGTAGATTTAATTAGGAGATAATGTGAGCCCTAGAAAGGCTTCTAGATGGAACTGGCTGGGTCAAAGAGAGATCTGAGTGGAGAGATATGGCATCCTAATTTTTGATTGACCTACTGGTTCCTTGAGCAGTTGACACTCCATGTAAGTACTTATCCATCATGCCCGGCTAAGCGCTGGCATCCCTCATCCACATCTCTAGTAGGTCTTTTCTGAGGTGTGGATAAAGAAACAGTGAATTCCAACAAATCTAGACCCCTACCCATTTGGACTCGTCTTGTATTGGTCCTAGGCCAGGTCCTAGGTCAATTCTGAGGACTTTATTTCTCTTAAGGGCAACACAAATTGAAAATTAGAATTGTGTTAGAGAGGTATTGTAAAGATGTAACCCTGACATGGCCAAGAATTGAAGCAAAAGTTTGTCATAGTGATTCCAGAAAAAAGGAGAAGAAAAGTGGGTTCGACTTCATTAGATTAAGATTAAGCAACGTTGAGACTTGGCAAATGCTGTATATTTAAGAACAGTAGTTACCATTATTGAACAAAATCAACAGAGAAAATATGTAATTATGCCACAATATTACTGTCTTATTCCAAATTTATCGTCATATAAGTAGAATGGTAGATAAAAGCAACGTCAATAGCACATTAATAATAGTGTACTGTGGATGCCTGGCTTGGCTCAGTGGTTGAGTGTAAACCTATGAACCAGGAAGTCACGGTTTGATTCCCAGTCAGGGCACATGCCCAGTAGGGGGTGTGCAAGAGGCGGCAAATCAATGACTCTCACCATTGATGTTTCTATTTCTCTCTCCTTCTCCCTTTCTTTCTCTGAAATCAATAAAGATGTATTTAAAAAAAAATAATAGTGTACTATAGAAATATATTTGTGGATTATCAAACATAGTATAAAAGGAATTTTGAAGGACAGGTATAAGAAATGTCTAAGTACTGGAACATCCCTTTGTGATGTATATCTTCTTTATTATTATAATTTATATATTTTCTGTAACAAAGCCAAGATTGATTTAATCTGACATAACTTTATGGCTCCCTGAAAAGAGTGATGTTGAGGGAAATTGTCATGAAAATTCTTAAATGTTTTATTCTGTGTAAGCCAAGCTGATCAATTCTTATCAAAAGCCTTTGTTTCTTAAATCTGGAAGGAAAAGATTCCTTGAAATGGATGATTAAAGAAACCAAATGTATCTTAAGTTATCTTGATAGTTAATCTTTTGCTTAAAAATCTTGTGTGGGAGAGAATGGGGGGAAAAAAACAAGTCATTTGGTTTCCTGTGTATTTCTTTTGATTGGAGCATATTTTGCTAATAAAGATCTTGGAGAGAGTTACCTACTATGTCTATGTAACCAAAACAATGTGATGAAAGGTGAGGGGTTGTTTTTTTTTATTGTCCAGATGTTTTAAAAATATCCAGGTGCTTAACATCACATAGAGAAAATATAAAAATGCTTAACCAAATAATTTATTTTTTACTTTGATCTTTCCTACTATGTTTTCAAGTTAGTCAAATTGGCAGTGTTCTTAGTAATTTGATTATGATTCAATAGATTTTATAGAAACACAAAAATTTTTTAAAAAGGAAATGGTACTTAGTTATTATATTTATTTGCTTCTTGGGGTCATAATTTGATGGTTTTTTATTTTGGTCATTTCAGAAAATGATAGGACATTATTTGACTGTTACTGTATTTCTTTTAGGTAATTATATCTTATGGAGTAGCTTCAGGTTTGATTTATGGGTCACTTCTAATACTCTTTCAAAATAAAGTCGTTCTTCGGGCAGTTCCTCAAATTTTCCAAAGGTGGCATCTGAGATTTATCTAAACCAGGATTTCTTGGCCCTCATTTTTCTTTAGCCCCAGCAATGACAAAGAGCAATGGCTGCTTCAATTGGATGTAAGAAGAACACTTAGGGTTTGTCTCAGAAGAATCAAAGATTTCAGATCTTCTGAAAGATTGTTTGTACTCTTAGGGGGTCTTAAGAGGGGTCAAATGGCTTCTAAGACTTCCTTAGCTAGATGGGTAAAGGATTGTATTAGGGAGGTGTATGTAGTTAAGGTAAAGAGGCTCCTAGGGTTTGTAAAGCTCATTACACTAGGACTTTAGCTGTTTTTTCGGCAGAGAGGTCGAAGGCTTCCACATTGGAAATTTGCAAGGTGGCCACCTGGGCTTCTCTTCATACTTTTTCATAGTATTAGCTCTTGGATGTAGTCTCTTCTACAGATTCAGCTTTTGGTGGGAGGTTGCTTGTGAGCCAGAAAAGAACAGTGAAGAAAAGAAAGACTTGTAGTTCCCACTTAGAGCTGCCAACAAGGCAAGTTGCTTTGTAGTGCACACAATGGGAGCCTATGAAGACCAATTTGGGTGTGAAAGTGGATGTCACAGGGAAGTACTGCCAATCTCTACTCTCCATGAAAGAAGGCAACAGTGTGGGAACTAACCAGAAGTAACTAACTCTGTGGGGGAGACTGTTCAGGATCTAGCATTCCTGTGAGGCTCTGCACTCTACTTAGGTCNTAAAATGAACCACAGCGGACTCTGTGGGGGAGACTGTTCAGGATCTAGCATTCCTGTGAGGCTCTGCANACTAACTCTGTGGGGGAGACTGTTCAGGATCTAGCATTCCTGTGAGGCTCTGCACTCTACTTAGGTCCTTAATCTGGGCATGCTCTTAAAGAAACCAGTGTTGATTGCATGCAAGTAACCCATGTTTTAGAACATTGAGCCCAAAATGGGCTACCTTCTCTAGACAATGCTAGTGAGTGTATAGGATTTTCAATATATATTTAAATAGGTGAAATAATTTGCCAAATGTTCACAGAGCTTATGAAGTTTGACAATGTGGAATTTTGAAATTGACCATTTTGAATTCCAAACAAATAAAAAATGCCACAATTTGTTAAAGCCATGAGATATTTTAGTAGTCCAGATTCAATGTTACTAAGCCTGCCTTAAAATGATTCCTTTTGCTTCTCTATATTGGATTAAGCTTTTTAAAAAATCTTTTTAAATTTGGGGGCGGGGAGACTATATTATAAAGGTTATCAGAATTATTTGATAATTCATTTTCTATCTTACTATAAAATTGCCCACCAGCAAGAAAAGGCTCGGGGAGCTTATCTTTTTATTTACTAATCTTGAAAATAGGCAGATGGTTTGTATAAATATCAAAGCATGTTACTTTGAATGAATAAGCATATTGTATTTGGGAGTGCAATGATAAATATAAGATAATTAACTTTTTCCATAAGTCTTAAATTATAGCTACACAATAGCAGATAGTTATTTCCAGAAATAGATCTGCAAGCTTATACTTCAATCTAGTGTTGTTATTCCAGAGTAAATACCTTTTAAATTGGCTGGTTTTATGAGCTATCTGTAAAAAAGTAAAGTGACATTAAACATCCAGGTGTTGCTCCTTCGTATCATTAACTTGATCTTTATTATTTTTCTTCTTTAAAAAATATGTTTTGAATAGTAGTTCCTCATATAGTAAAGCATTTAAATAGGACAAAAGAGTATATGGTGAAACTATGTCATTTTCTATTCCAGTTGTCTAGTTTTACTTTCCAGACCAACTACTTCCACATATATCCCTATGTTAAAATAACACAAAATCTTGACATACTGTGCAGAGATCCTTTTTTAGTTATGTAGAAACACATCATTCTTTCTAACAGCTGAATAGTTTTCCACTGGTGCATTTAACCCTGGCACTCACTGATGGACATTTAGGGTTTTATTTTTCTGTTTGTTTGCTACCACAAACAATGATAGGGCAAATTTTCTTGAACTGTGTCTTAATATGTGCACATGTATATCTGGACGGTAAATTTCTAAAGTGTAATTGCCAAGCAAAAAGGTATGGTCACTAAGAGGATGAAAATACTAGCCAAAGACTGAGAAAGATACTTGCAAAACATATATCTTATAAAAAACTTGTATCCAAAATACTATACAAAAAAACTTTAAAATTCAATAAGAAAACAAAAAGCTTGATTAAATGATATACAGATGGCAAATGAGCATATGAAAAGATGCTCCACGTCATAAGTCATCAGGACATGCAAATTAAAACAAGGAGATAGCACTACACACCAATTAAAATGGCTAAGGTTTGAAACACTAACAGGGCCTGTTCCAGCAAGGATGTGAAACAACAAGAACTCTGACTCATTGCTGATAGGAATATAGCCTCTTTGGAAGGCAATTTGGTTGTATCTTCCAAAGCTAAACATTGTCTTGTATGATTCAAGAATCATGTTCATAAGTCTATACGCAAATGAGTAGAAAACTAATGTCCACACAAAAACCTGCACACAAATGTTTATAGCACTTTATTCATAACTGCCTAAACTTGGAAGCAACCAAGCTGGCCTTCCCTAGGTAAATCTGATAAACTATGGTACATCAATACAATGGAATGTTATTCAGTGGTAAAAAGAAATGAGAGATATTAAGCCACGAGAAAACATGGAATAATCTTAAGTGCACATTGCTAAGTGAAAGAAGCCGATCTGAAAAGGCTACATACTCTATGATTTCAACTATATGACGTTGTGGAAAAAACAAAAGTATAGGGACAGTGAAAAGATCAATGGTTGTCAGGGGGAGAGAAAAGGAGAAGAGAGGTGAATAGGCAGAGCACGGGATTTTTAGAGCAGTGAGATAATTATGATACAGTAAAAGTGAGTATATGATATTATGTATTTGGCAAAACCCATTGAACTGCACAGCACAAAAAATCAACCCTAATGTAAACTATAGACTGCAGTTAATAGTAAACTGTCAATATTGGTTCATCTGTTTTAACAAATATACCACACCAATGCAAGATGTTAACCATAGGGGAAACTGAGGGTGGAGGAGGGAGAGTATATGGAAACTCTGTACAATCTGCTCCATTTTTTGTAACTAAAAATGATCTAAAAACTAAAGTCTGTTAATTTTAAAGAAAGGTATGGATATTTTTAGAGAGTGTGCCAAGTCAATTTTTTCTATCTATTTTGACTGCTAATGGTATTTTTGTTATGCAGAATTGATTTGTGTGATTCTAGAAAGTTTTTACACAGATCTTTTGAAAAAATATTCCAAAGTTTTAATAGCCTTATAGTTTCCTTCTTCTTTACTTAAAATCTTTGATTAATCTGGATTTATTTTAATAGTAGAATTGATTCTTATTTATATCTATTGCCATCTTCTTAAAAAGACAATAAAATGCAAGCCATAGAAAAAATATTTTAGGTTAACTGTATAACAATGATCTAAAACCTTCTCTCTGTTGTGATGTTTGTTGAAAAATGAAGCAGAATTATTAAACTGCAGTCCATGGGCTCTTGAAGTTCATGAATACACTTTACAAAGGGCCTGGGAATCCTTAATAGACTCTGTGCGTGTCTGTGCGTGTGTGTGTGCATGTGTGTGTGATGTGTGTGTGTGTGTGTGTGTGTGCGTGAGCGTGAGCACGCACACTTACCATAGAGTCATACTGTGCATTTTGGATGGAGTGGTCTTCACTTTAAGTTCTCAAAAGTGTTCATAAATCCAAAATGATTGAAAAACACTCGAGTTGAGGAAAACTTTATCAGATAATATAACTTTATAGATAAATTCTGATAAAATTTTCCTAAAGGATATTATCACCTACCAAATAATCTCTCTGTGGAATGTTTCAGCCAGCTATATTACTTAGGAATCATTCATGATTAAGCTCATAGAACCATATTTAGAAAAACAAAAACTTCTTCCAGATGAATATATCAGTCAGAAGCTCTACTAAGAAGAATCAGTATGTTTTTGAAATTTGCTTGCTCAGGACATAAGGAAAAACTGACTATTAAGATTCATAAAAATTTTTAAATGTTACATAATAGTTATAATTCATCATCATATATCAAGTCTAAGCAAAAAATAAAATAAATGCTAACTCATTTATATCAAATTAAACTATAATTAATAGAACCTTAATGGAAAAGTAGAATAATTTCTTTTGGGCATATGTATTCATTACATTTTTGTAGTATACATATTTTTTCCCATGGAAAAGAGTTCCTTAATTCTAAAAACTAAAAGTCGGGAAAATATATCCATTTTAGGAGCTAGAGATTTTTTTAAAAATTGTTGATTTTAGAGAGAGAGAAGAAAGAGAGAGAGAGAGAGAGAGAGAAATTTGTTGTTCCACTCATTTAGGCATTCATTGTTTGATTCTTGCATGCGCCCTGACCAGGGATCGAACCTGAAACTTTGGTGTGTCAGAATGATGCTCTAACCAACTGACCTACATGGACAGGGTTAGAGATTATTTCTTATCTGTTTCAGTGTTTATATATGTCCAATGAATTATTGATATATACTTATTAAGGGTGTAATTTTTTCTGATATGTTGACATTTATCCACGTACTTTTGTTCTTCCTTGTTTCAGGAAAGGAAGTAATGAAGTGCTAAGGAACCACCAGTTTTAAAATGCAGTACTTTAGAATTTAACTTTTTACATGAACAAGGAAATTAATATTTACGTTGTATTCATAACTTATCCTACATTATCCACATGAAAATGAATTAATAACAAAAAGATTTGTATTTCACAGGTTATATATGTATATACATCAAATATGAATATAAATAGCACATAAATTTCATTAAGTTGGATGCACGGAAAAGCACTCAGTATATTTTGATACTGTCATTATTGTAATGGTGCCATCACCCTACATCTTGTCGACCATATTCTCTGACTCTTGATATGCATGTATGTGTGTATATAGTATGGATAGAGCTTTTCTCCATAATTAATTTTAACCTGAATATATGAATTACATCTAGTATGGTTTGTTTTTCTTAATATATGTTTGTGTATTTGCTTTTTTTCCTATTGCATAGGGATTTTGGGCACATTCCATAGAGAAGCTATAATAGAGAAACCTAGAGCAAATGAAACCAATATTTCTTCAGAGCAATTGCTACCAGGAAAAGAGGTAAGTGAGGGGAAAATGGGTGATAATTCTTTATTCATATATAATAGCATCATCATATGTCTGTGAATCCATTATAAATCAAAATGTCTTGAGTTTTGCCCTTTGACACTAAAAGAAATAATTCTTGGTTGAAAATTGGCTTATACATTTTGATGAAAATTGAGTTTAGTGGATACACTGCTTTCTTGCACAATCTGTTCCATGGATAGATTGTGAGGAGGGAGCTGGAAGTGAGGAGGTCTTTGTTTCTCATCCCAACTCAGAGTCTACACTTTGAGAATTTGGACTGTAGATAATTGTTGAAAAGGGAGAAAATGGAAATTTAAATGGAAGGAAAAGAAGAAAGAATAGTTTGAACTGGCCTCTTATTTTATTGTGTCCAGCATGTGCCTGTTTGTGCTCAGATTCATTACCACTCTTCCCCTACTCTGTTCTATATTATAGAGAATTACATCTTCCAGGTGTCCTTGCTTTCTGTATACTGGGAAGGTTTGGTCAATGAAGGGCATTGATGGAAGACCTATAGGGTAGATGTTGGAGAAAAAAGAGTGTGTCTTCCCCTGTTTTAGGGGATATCTCTAGTAATATCTGTGACTCTTCATTTCCTCCATGGGCCCTGCTTCCGCCACACAGTCCTCCCTCCATGGTTTCATTTCCAGCTGGCAGTTTTACCTTTAGCTTTGACTGGTGGCCCCAGGAACTGGAATCCCATAGATAGTCCCCTTCTTTGTTTCCCTAGCCCTAGGAGGAGGGGTAGCTTCCGGCTGCATCAGTATCTGGCTTGCTTCACAACCCACGTTTGGCTCCACTAAATTTCATCACCTTAGTAAACTACATTATTTTTTTTTCTTTTGAAATACCTAGAGTGGTTTCTGTTTTCTGAATGGGCCTTGACTGATAGTAGGTAAACATTTAAAAAGGTAAAAGAATATAGGTTTTTAACAGTTTCAATTTATAAAGCAAGAGTAATAAGAAATGCAAAGTTATAGATTATGCTTTAACCAAAAAATCAGAGGTAATGGAAGGAAGGGATTCAGCAGGTACTTACTTTGTGCATAGAACAGAAAGCCACATTATGCCTCTTTCTTCTTGGATCAACTGGCAAATGTTCTTGATTCTAAATGAAATATTTTTGGCGCCAAACATCAGACAAGAGTAGAAGAAAGCAAACAATATTTTATGAAAACAAGCTTGTAGGAGGACATTTGAGTAGTAAAGGTCTTCAGTTTTCTTTTTAAGAGCAGCTATTAATGTGCTTGGTTTTCTATATTTTGAAAAAAGAATTCGGATGGGCCAAGATATTATAATCACATGTAAATTATCATGGGCCAAGGTAATCATCATTGAGTGAGTGCAAGTGCACACGCGCGCGCACACACACACACAAATTACTGCTGCACCCATGGCAATTACTGGTAATTTTCACCAGAATATATTTCCTTGGGTGAATGAATGAATGAATGAATGAATGAATGAATGAATGAATGAGTGATTTTAATGAACAGATATGCCCTAGTTGAGAGAACAGAACCCAGAGCTTTGTTGTTGTTTTTAATTTTTGTGGAGGTGGTTTCCTTTTTGCATTTCTGTCATAAATGTGTCCCAAGGAAATACTTTTATAGCACAGGACTATACCCATGGCACTCTTAAAGTTTCACTTATAAGGAAGGAGATTATATGAACTAAGTAGATTCAAATATTGGATAATTTTCTGTAAAATAAGATGAGAAATGTGTTTTCAGGCCCTCTGATGTTAAAGGTCCAAATAAACTTTGGAAAGTTCAATTACAACTTAATTATAAGCATAATAAGAATAAGAGCCACTTTTTTTGATTATATAATCATGGAATAATAGAATTTTCATTCTAGAGAGTCACCTTTATTACTTTGTACATTATATACAAAAAGCATTAAACTAACACTGAATGGGATGTGTATACAAGAAAATGAAGCTAATGATTATAATCTCAGTAATTTTAGACTGAAAGAGACCATAGAAATTCATTCAGTTCAGCTCTCATATTTCTAACAAAAAAGTTGAGACCTAGAAAAGTAAGTAATTTAGTCAGGGATATTGAGCCTAAGGTCTTATGAGGTTGGAGAAAGTAAATTATTACTGTAAACAAGATTACTTTAAACAAGGAGTTTAATTTTAAGCATAGGTTCAGCCTAGTACCCATTAAGCTTTTAGTACTGTAGAGAACATTAGAGGATTTGGGGAAAATATACATCCATAAACATATTGCCATATGAGACAAAGACTAAAAGAAAAACAGACAACAAAAAACACCAGTGTCCACCCAACCTCTCTGACTCCCCCAACACAGAATAAAGCAGACCTTTTTAATTTTTCATTTTCTGAAACAAAAGTAGTGCCATGTACCAGTTTGTGAGAGGAGAAACTAAATAAAATTCTAAACAAGTAAAAATCTAGAAAGGTGCCGTAGTGTATTTTCTGTGAGAAATTTATTTCTTATTGCTATATTTTTGCTTGTCTGGATTTCTGAGAGTGAAAAAGAAATAAAAGATTGAATATTAAATGCTGTCTTATGTTGCAATACTTGTTAACAATAAACTATAAAAAAAGACTATAAAAATCTAATTTAGACTTTATTAAATATATTGAATTTAAAGTTTGCTTTATGTGATAAATAGTAAGAGTAACTTTCAGCTCTCATAAAGATGGTTTTATTGAACTATATTTAAGAGATTAAATTTTGAAAAAAGTTTTTGATTAAATCCACTGATGAATTAAAATGAAATGTCAGTATATTACTGCGTGTAAAGAATGCACATGTTTTCGTATATTGCTTTATTCACTGGGTAATATTTTTCAGGTTGCAAGAATGGCTTTTACAGTTTATCAGAGAATACCTATATTCAGCATGCTGAATGAAAACAACAACTTTCTATCTATAACAATAGAAACACTTGTTGCTGAATTAAGATTAATATAGCTTCATATAAACTTATATTTCAGGCTACTCAACTAGATTTTGGCTGGAGAAGTGCATTTAAAGAAGTGTCTCTTCCCATGGCATACTGTATAACAACAGCGATTGAAGACTTTTCCGTAAAGGTTCTCCACCAGGAGCACAGTGAAAGGTCTTCAGCTGCGACCGATGCTATGAACCTTGTAAATGTCCAGCAGGTTTGGCGAGACAGCTGTGTGGCTCCTGAGGAGGACCAGCCAAAGAAAATTGCAAAGGCAAGAGTCAAAAGAAATCCTTTCAAAACTGTAGGCTGCACAATGAGTTTTGTGTTTTGTTTGTTTGTTTGTTTTTAATATAAGCCATTGCAAAGGGAACCAAGAGAAAAAATGGTGGAGCCTCTTGGCGAATATTTGGCACTAGACCCAATAGTTTTTTTCCTTCTGCCATCATGCGCCTCTGCTAGCAAAGAGGACTTAAACCTGTGACCACCTTGTTGCTCCAGGAGTCTTAGGCAACTATAGGGGGGGCCTCAGTGACTCATGGGGAGCTGGGCAAATTGCTTGTTTGGGTTTATCTTTGAGTGACTTCAAGAGAAATTGAGGAGGTTGAAGGAATTACTGTCTTTTATTGGTTTGGGCAACTTTTAAATCTTTATTTTACCCCCAAGGAACATTCCATGTCATTCGCATAAGTATGACATGTTTCCATGTGCTTTGAGAGTCCCAGAACATACTGAGAAAATACAAAGTTGTCATGCAAATAGGTAAATACAGTTACTCAGTATTAAGTCCACAATGAGTTCAGCAACCTATGACTGAAATGTTTTTAGAAAAGAGATCTTAAAGATGGCCTCCTGTTCCGCTACTGCCACCCTGAGGCTCCAGAATCTTCCCCAGGGAACACTTGGCTAATCTGGAGTGCAGGCAAGCTTTGCCTTCTTACCCACCACACCTCCTTTGCCACTAAAAAGGAGCAGATTCGTAATAACTAGTGAAAAGCTACACACATTACTTCTAAAAGCTGCTGACTCATTACCAATAAGAAGATGCTACATGAGATTATTTCTGATGCTTCTAGATTTAATTAAACTGATAGAACCTTATTTTAATGTGATGGTTAATAAACAAATTATTTGAAAATTTAGCAAAACAAAATTAAAATAACTTAAAAAACAATGCGATTGTATTACTATCAAGGGTACATATTTTCTGAGTTCTATTAACTGCAAATAAAAGTATTATCATGCAGAAGTGTGGTGATTGGGGGGCAAGAGGGCATAGAAGGGATAAAAGGTGATGGGAAAAATAAAATAAAATATCGTCATGTAAAGCTACTTCATGAGTTTTCCATAATGTCTGCAAGGTAAGCATAAGGTTTGAAGGTTATATATAGAGAAGCATCATTTTGGTATTTCTTTATTTGACATAAAACATTTAACTTTCTACAATCGATTACTATAAAGCTGTGTGATTATATTTATGTTTGATGCCAAATTCATTATTTAGGAATTTGGCTCCCCTGTACATAAATTACACAGTGCTGTCAGAGTACCAATAACTCAGCTCTACATTTATTTCTCCCTAGTTTTGTTCTGACATCATGGAAAAACTTGACACAATGCTTCCACTGGCTCTGGCATGCAGAGATGATTCTTTTCAGGAAATTAGAGCAAACTTTGTGGAGGCCTGTTGTAAAGTGGCAACAGCTGTCCTGGCGAGACTGCAAGAGAGAGGCAAGGAGTTTCCTTCCAAAGCTCCCCTGAAAAACTTGCACACTCTGCTCTCTACGGCGGTGTATGTCTTCCAACACTTTACGCAATATGATAATTTGATGAAAGAAAAGACTAACAAGTGAGTGTCATTATATTAAGTTGATGGCTATGTTTACAGTAACATGGAATCTTTGGATATCACAGGAGTGAAATTTTGATGATATTATTTGAGGAGAAAATAATAATGTGGTGAATTATTTTCATTTGTCTTGACTAGGAAATGTCGAAAAGGTGGAGCATGGGATATATTAAACCAGATACATAGATAGTAAGAAATATATGTATTTTTTCTAAACGTTCACTCAAAAGACCCATGCATTTTCCATATTCTAATGAGGAGCAACAATTTTCTGCATGCTGTTATGACATAACCAGACCCCTCTTATTTTGTAAGGCGCATTGTACCAATTACACTGAAAAAGAAAATAAACTTCTTTTTGTTCCATGTGTGCACAGTTGTGAAATATGCACTTCTCTCTTTTTGTTCCTAAGTCAATAATGTTAGGAGCTGACATAGAAAAATGAATTCATCTCAGTCTATTCTATTGGCTAATGTAAACATATTTCAGATTATCAACTTATAATAAGCGATCTTTAATATTTGAGGTGGAAGCGTCTGACAATCTTAATTCTCATGTATTAGTAGTCTAAAAAGATTATATGCTTTCTGTATAGAAAATAAAAGTGACCACAGGTATTGTCACTTGGTCTCTCTGGCTATCTTTGTACTCTATAGGATAGCATGCAAAGGGAACTGAACTTGGTAGTCCAGTGTGAGCCCAAGAATCTATTCTACATTACTTCTTCAGCCTTTGCAGTTCCTCAGTTATCAGAGAAAGCATAATAGAAATAGCTTAAGATAAAAGTAAAATAAATTTGGCTTGATGTAGGATATAACTATGATATTTCTTTAATTCTCAGAAGTAGTCAGATGTTGTGATTCATACTCGAATTTATAAACAAAATGTGCCAGAAATCACTTTATTTCCGTAGAATATTTTAAAACAGTTTATGAGATAATTGACATCTATGAAATTACAATTTTTAAAGTAAAGAGTGTGTTTGTGGGACGTGTGATAGCTTTATAAAAGTTGGTTCTGGCAAATGCATGTGTTCTCTATAATAATGATAACCTAATGCCTAAATAATGCACTGATCTCTAATAATAGGCTTACAGAGAATACTTTTATTTTTTGAATGATGTATTGACAGTGCAGTTTGTCTCAAGTTGAAGTGCATATTTGTGGAACAGCAGATGTACATTTTCAAAAGACTTGCAAAACAAAGACCAGCTTTTTTTTTGCTTTTTTTTCTTTTTGGAAAGTGAATGTGGACTCAGACCTCAGCATTAGGAGGAAATGAATGATTGATATCTAATAATCAAAACCATTTGTAGTACTGGAGATTGTTACCTCCTACTACACAGGCCTTAAATCTCTGTCTCTTTGATCATTGCCTCTGAACAGACCCATATTCCTGGTGCCTGTCCAGCGATATCAGGAATTCATCAACACTCTCCAGTCTCAGGTTACCGACTACTGCGTCAGAGTTTGTGCTACAAGCATTTTACAGGATGCTGAGAGCCACCACTGGGATGACTACAAAGCTTTTTATGAGGTGTGAAGTTAAGTTTACTATCCCTCCTTTTTACACAAATATGTTTTACTGCCTACCTGTTTTCTGGCTAATTAGAAACATGAGCTCGGCATTACTAACACACGAAGGCTGTTAGGATAATATTTTTAAAATATTGAATTTGTGCTTAGGAAAAACACTGTTTTTAAAAACCTGAAATAATTAGACATCAGAACTCTCCTTCTGCTTAAAAATAAAAATAACTTCATTTGAGTTGCAGTGTTTGAGTGCTATATAATAAGTGGAAACATAATGGGATTCAAAGAAAATGCGAAGAGATGACAATGCCAAAATGCCACAACCTTGTGTTTTTCCCCCAAAGGGACCAGTTATAGATATCCTTGCTTTTTTATTATTATTATGTATTTCCATCTTTGTCTGATGGATATTTTTAGTAAGCAGCTTTATTCTTTATACTTATTTTTTCCTCCAAGTATGTTCTTATGTGTGTGCTTTAAGACCTCTCCGATCATTGATAGCTTACCTATTTTCATTTAGCCCATGTTTTGAAATCCCAAATTTCTCCTGAATTCTTTCTAATGACTTCCAGTACAACCAAACCCAGATCGATTAAAATTATTCAGCATCAGGCTTCATTAGTTTCCTTTCCCCGAAATCCCATTGATTATACATAAACCACAATACTTGAAACTGTTTGAAGTTGATTCCAGGGCAGGGTGGAACATTTATAATATCTTAATAAAAGATAAAGCAATCAGGGTTTTAAGAAAAATCTCAGTCCAGCCCAGCTTCTTTAGCTTTTCCCATTTACCCTTTGCTCCAGATCGAAGCTTATGATTTTTGCTTTGCTTGACTGTTCTAATCACTATGGAGTATTGAGTAAAACAGAGAAGAGTTTTTATCCAACGGAGTCACTCTTGTCCCCTGCCTGACAATGAGTTCCTGCGGCTCCATTTATGCCTGAGTTATTACCATAATAAATGTTGCCACAACAGAGAAGAGCAACTAATAAGCTCACTTAAGGGACTTGCCACTTTTCCTAAGGCCATTTCATCTCTCCTTTAGAGGCCCTTCCCAGATAGTTTTTCTTTTTGCAAGAGCATCCATACAGAGTTTTCCAAACCGGACATCCTTCAAACAGCAGTGAGCAGAGTGAAAACAAGAAAGTGCCATGGTGCAGCTGGCAGCCTGAGATAAGAGTGAAAGTATTGGTCTCCTCTCCTGGCAGCATTCAGCTTCCTTATTTGCCTTGGGGTAAACGGAGAGGTTAAAAATGAATCCATCTCATGTTTCAAACTATTTAAATATGTCGGTGTGCTAATGAGCAATTTTATAGGACGCTTTCATTGAAAAACAGGTATCGCCTCACTATATGTCCAACATAGAGGTATTATGTTTCCTCTTCTGCAAATTGGGAGCTGGAAGAGTTGTGCAGTATAAATAATAAGTGGATGCATTGCGAACCTGTTATTGAAGTTACCAAGTATTTAAAAAAAAAAACAAATTACCATGTAACATGCAGCTCTTAGATCTTATGACAATGCTTTCGCTTCAAAGACAAGATAGTTACCCTGTGATTACATGGTGCTGTAGCTTCCATATACTTACATGGTCAGTAGTTACAGTTTAATTGCAGAGTTAGTGGTTGTTATTTCTGCTCAGAAAAATAAAGTGCTGCTGCTTTTCTCTTTACCAAAAATAAGAACCTTCTAAAAAGAGCATAGACTTGGAACTGCTTCGATAACTGGAACACCTGACACGGTTTCATCCCGCTCGCCTTCACCTCTTTCTCCCCGTCTCTCCATTATTCCAGCTGATGTGGGAAGCAGGACTCGCTTTTGGCAGGGCTGCTTCGCTGGGAAAGGAGATGAAATCTGCCAGGCTGTAGGCGAAGAGTAGGACAGAGATCGCAGGGAACCTATTGCCATGTGCGAGAGTGTGGTCAAGAAAGAGTGAAATAATTTACAAGATATGGAGCAATATTTGCTCATGTTTTGTGGTATCAAGTGAGCCCTAGACACATTATTTCCATTTTCCAAACTGTCAGGTTGAGAGAGTCAAAAGAGTTGGGTATCTCTCTGATGAGGTGCTGGTCAGAAGGCACAGTGGGTGTTCAGATTACATGTTTAAAATTGAGCATTTAGTATAGTTGACATCTGCTCAATTTTAGCAACTTGTGTTTTCCAACAGTCAAAGAATAAAGAATTGTCTGTTCAAAGATAATATTGAGCGGCTTATATAATAAAGCCCAGCTGCTTGTTTCCTGATATATAATCTAAATAAAAGCTCACATCTGTTTACATTATAGTGGGCCTACAAAAATAACAGATGTTTACTAGCAGAATACTTTGGAAATGACAACAAATAGAGAAACAGGTCAGAAAATTAAATGAATCACATTTAGTTTAATGAAAGCCATTGCATGCATTGAAGTTAGACACATTTTGAAGAGAATTGTGAGAATGATGACCAGTTTGAAATGTAAAGTTGAAATTTATGTTTTAAAAAGTCTTAAAAATAAGTATTTTTTACTCTTAGGAGAAGACATCTATATACCTGAAGTTATTTTTATTTTCTCATTTATTGCTTAAAAAGGTGACTATTAAGGAATTTTTAATTTTATTTTGAAAAATATGAGAAATCATGTTGGCCATGTTATTATAAGCACACATCTATTGCCATGGAAAATGTTAGTGTAAATTATTCAGACTAGTCATTACATCAGCTGGGGTCAGTTTGCTTCAATTAACATACTACACCAAAAGTATAAAGAAATCTAGCTTTAAAATGTTTGTCTTGCTTTAGAAATTTTAAAAAGCATTCTTTATTGCAGAACACAACAAAGAAAGCATAAAGAACTATAATTTTGTTAATTCTGCATTAATTTTGTATTTTTTTCTTGAATAGTTTTGATACACATCTAGTCAGAAAGTCAGAAGACAGTGGTCCAAGTCTCCTCCAGTTTAAACTTGATTCTTTGACATTTGATGCCCAAGCTTCTTACCCAAGGATAACATTTCTACTCACTTATAAACTCCATTGGAAAGCCAATAGATAAAAACTATAAATTATTATTATACAGTGATTACAAAAGATTTTAGTAATCAAACAAGTTACCAGAAGAATGTGTAAGGAAAACACTAGTAGTAGCATATGCATAAGAAGCTATCCTCTTTTGGTAGAAGAGAACAGATATTTTTGATGACATTTGTTTGAGAAATGTAAGTAGAGGGTAAAAGAAATTTCAAGTTGAAGAGGATTGCTTAGAGGTAAAATAGGAAGTTTTACTAGTTTAACTTTTGATATAGTAACATAATCAGGAAAATGTTTGAAGAATGCATTCTACTCTTTCTCTTTCAAATAATCTTTTGATTTGGTTCGAAGAAAATGAGGTCACACTACTAACAAACCTCCCGAAGAGCAAGTTAACTAATTAATGCTTGTAAATCACTTGAGGCTATCTTCTCATTTCTGCCTGTTCCCCTTGGCCTTGGCCACTGTTGGGTCTCCCTCTGTGGTCAGGGGAAATTTGGCGCACAGAAGAGATCTACAAGGAAATGGGAGGGAATGAGACTCTGGCCCCTTGGAAGTATAAAGTGCTGTAAAAATACTAAGTAATAATGAGATCTGCCTAAGCTTTACAAAAAAGAAAAACTTGTAAAATCAGACCATTGTAGTATCTGTTTCTAGTATTGTTATTAAAACACCATGGATAAAAGAGCCTGATGTAATTTTCTTCAATAGTTCCCCATCCTCTTGGTTTCATGCATGCTGATAAGTGTACAGTATGTAAGTTAATTTTTGCTCCCATCATTTCATTATAATGTGAAATCTAAAACATTTGTAAAATTATCTCAATGATGCTAATACTTAATTTAAATAATTAAATTTTTATTTTAGAAGAATCAGTCTACTATCTTACACTAACATGACATGTTTAGCAACTATGAAGCTGATTGTTTAAAAGTAAATTTTAAACTGCAGTCCAGGAGTAGGTAAATCAAAGATACATATGCTAGGTGAAATGCTTGCAATCTGGATTTTCATTAGAATATCTAGTCTTGCAATTGAAATAAAACATATGTTCCTTTGTCAGTAAGGATGTTTTACATCTTGTCAAAAATCTTTCTTGTTCATCTAGTGTGTCAAACTCTCTAGCTATTTCCTTTCAGCCTGAACTAATTAGGTTCATAGGAAGCAAACTGACATTTTGGAAGACGTGATGCTATTGTTTAATGTGTGGTGGTTTTGCCAGGGGGAAAGATGCTCCTTCTCACTCCAGATGTGGCATTATTTCTTCTGGGCTCTTCATCATGATCTCTGGACCATTCTGCCCCCTAAGTTAGCCCAGAAGATTCTAGCTGAAGTTCTGGAGAAATCTTTGGGACTACTGGCCTCCAGATATGCTCAGGCCCATCCCAGTTACAAGAGAGCTCCACAGATAAGGTAAATGATGTGAAAACCGTTGCCTTCCAAGAAAAACTTTTCACTATTTACTATGAAGCAGAATGTAATTCTGAATCTCAGGACATGACTCCTTGTGTACTTAACATGTTTTCTAACATCTGAATGGAAATCACATTTGATTTTCTTGAGATATTTAAGTGGAAATGTGGAACTTAAATAATTTTGCTCTTTTTTCTTAAAATCATGTGTAGAACCCACTTGTTTCTAAAAAATTATTGAATATATATCTAGGCTATGTGTGTGTGTGTGTGTGTGTGTGTGTGTGTGTGTGTGTATATCCTTATTTGGTAACCTGTGTGTGTGTGTGTGTGTGTGTGTGTGTGTGTAAAGATTAATAAATAAGGAGAAAATTAAGGTACTAAAATGGAGGACAACAAGTGTTGTGATACAGCAGGCAATGTGGCTGAGAGTCTAAGCAACCAGGGGATTTTAGTTTCTGAGGGTTTTTATTTTTTAAAACCTTTAATAGTGTAGTTAATCTTCATTAAGGAAACTCCTTTGTCTAGTCATGTTTCTCCTTAATATATTCTAATTACTTCTTTCCTCTTTTCCTTTATTTTATTTCTTTCTTTTCATTATGTATTTCTAAAAGCCAGTTCAACAAAATGTGAAATCAAGAACATAGGAGACACAGTCACTGGGTATTAAATTAAAGACTGAATTAAAGTCCAATTCCAGGAGTTATCTAGGCAATGAATATTACAGAAATGTGCTTACATGACAGCAACAGTCTACATGAAGAGGAGGCTTTGTTTTATAAATATTCCGACTAAAGTGATAAAGACCCGCCTTTTAAGTAAAGGTGTAGGTATATATATAGATATATTTTAAGAGGAACCTACAAACCTCAGGCTTTTTTTTTTTTTTTCCAGTAGGAATCATTTCCTGATCATGTTCTTGTAAAGCAAGCTGCATTTGAAGGGCATTTAGGTCCTGCTACAGTGTTTCATAAATATGGTATTTTGCACAGGCTGTTTTGAATTACTGACCAACCTTTTTTTTTTTTTGAAATTGAACTCTGAAGAATAGATGGAAAATTCCTTTTGAGAGCAAAGAATACCTTCATTCTTTTTCGTTATGTAGAATAAATCACTTTTGATTATGAGGTGGCAAGTCATTATGAGATGTTTATGAAATCAGATTTCCTATTAGCTCATGAAATAGATAGTATATTTAATTAAATCACTGTACTACAGAGACATTTGGTTTTATTTTCTGGTGGTTACATAATAATGCCATGCAGAGCTAGAGTTATTTCTTCTAGTCTTTCTACATACAATAAATATTTTTATTTGTATGTTTGATCCTAAACTACCATTCATCTGGAAATCAGATGTATGTGTGTACATATATTTTAATTTGTAATTATTTAATGGGCAATTCCAGTAAGTGGGTGAAAACTACAATTAAACCTTCTTAAAGGTGATCATTGATGCTTTTAGTATTCTAGTAGCCTCCAAGTGTCAAATGCCACAAACATATAAGTGCATGATTTATACATATTGTGTGATATATTATTAATATATGTATAGATGTATTCTATATAATAAAATTGAAGCCAAAATATCATTTTAAAAGATCCTTGTACTTATTTTTCTTCTGTTCACCTCAAAATTTCCATCTTCCATTTCTTCAACCCTGAATATAAAAGAAAAAAAAGAGGAAATTAACTGAGATCTGTAAAATTTAATCATGTACCAATAATCTCTGAACAGACCTTTGGGTCCCTATTAAAACTCAACAAAGATAGAGACAAAGAAATGAATTTATGAATGAGATAAATAATATAGCATATTTTCCAACGATTTATTTATTATTGGAAATTTCTGACACTATAGGCTTCTACATTAGTGCTTCTGGTGTCATTTTTTCTCATCTCCCACTTGCTTAGAAAACATGTGACCCACCCCTGTAACTTTATTTTGACAGCTTGTACTTGGATGAAGAGAATTGTTCTGCTATCAAATTGTTCTGCTATACTTATGTGACTAACAGCGAATTTGCTTTTAATCTGGCTTTTCTTTTACTGAATGTAATTTTAAGGAAAGTCTCTTGAATTTCTTAAGTAGCATCCTGATAATGCAAAATAAAAATATATTTTTTAAAACAGCATTCCTGAACCTCTTCACTGTCGTTGACCTTACAGTCCCTAAAGATAATGGTATTATGAAACTCAGAATCTAGTTTTGATGCTTTCTGTCTTTGATCCCTGAAGCTCTGGTATCTAACCAAATATTTATATTCTTACACCTGTTTAATACAAGAAATATAGATGACAATGTACATACCAAGTACAAAAGCAATTTTGCTTAACATAATTTTCTTCTTTTTCTTTCTAATAGGCTTGATATCACAACTATTTTAATATGCACTGAGAACATGTTATGGTCAGTTTGCACATCTGTAGAGAAACTTTTGAATCCTCAAGAGTATATAGATGATAAAATTTTTAAAATTCATGCCCACTGTAATAATCTGTTGACAACATTAGTCATTTTGACTTCACCATTAACTGAATTATATCAGTAAGTATAAAATATATTTTCTTTTTAGCTATTATGATATATAAAATAATGTGATTTAACAATGTTGTTTTTGTATTATTTACTGAATTGTGTAAAGTAGTAAGTATACGTGCCTTCTTGATATTGTGAATTGGGTTGTTTTACAAAATTAACACTGGCCAACAGGAGTTTCTTCATTCTCAAAGCAATTTAGTCCTAATACTGTGTTATGTCTCTATTGGTCAAGTCTCTTCAGTTGATCAGGCTCCAACACAGTCAGGACCATTTTAAGTTTCACTCTTTGAATTATTTAAGTGATCAAATTATAACGGGTAGGTTATTTGAGTCATAGCTTGAAATTCTATGAAAAATAAAATCATACCTAGTGGCTTTTTGCTCTTTCTAAAAATATTTTTTAGTTTTAAATTTTATATAAAGTGATTTGCTCTAATAAAAAATTAAAATTGAAAAGTGATTCTAAAATATGCCCAAATCTGGAAGAGACCTAATGGTCAATCTGCCATAGATTTGCATTTTTAGTCCTAGGCTCTAGTGCCTGAGCTAGTAATGGCAAGTGGAAATAGGGCTAAGCAATTACATTTTTAAAATGTTGATGTAGTTTACTTAGCTAAATAAGTGAGATTTAGGAAAATTAAAATATTTGAACTACTTTTCTGGTTTATTTATGGTTTATTTGATTCAAATTTGTAATAAAGAAAAGGTCGGAGTAGATCTTATAATAAAATAGTAATATAATTTTGTTTAAACCCTCCTCTAAAATAGTCACTTTATCTTGAAAGACTAGATAATTGCATATTCTTATTTCTTGAATATTAAAAATTAGACATACCGTATTTCTATTTCTTAGAATAAACTAGATAAAGCATTCCTTTCTTAACACTCTGGTAAGGGCAATATATAAATCTTGATTTTCAGAAAATGTTGAGGCTTTTGTCTTAGAAATTCTAAGAGTAATTAACAACTTTGATTCCAATTTCCCCATAATTTTCATCTACTGTTTGACGTTCAACTAACCCACTGTTTACAGATTGTTCCTTCTGGCAACTCTACATTGAAAACTAATTTTAGAAATGGAGAATTCTTTCAGAAAGGGGGAGAAACAGTGAGGTAAATTGCTAGAAGTTTGGCATTAAATATATAATGGTTCATAATCATAAAAAGCTCAAGGTCTGAAGTCCATAGTAAATCCTAGTAAACTAAACTGATTTACCATAGATGAAAAAGTTGTTGTGTTCTTAGTTCAATGGGTCATTTCATTTAAGGGTAAGGCCCTTGAAAATCAGGAACAAAGTTGACAAATTTCATGGATTGGTCATGGTGAGCAATATTAAATTTCATGGTTAGTCACAGATGAATAGAAACATTTTAATCCCCAATGCATTTGTAAAACAAATAAATTATTATCAAAGATCGCATATTTTAATAATAATGTAATATACATTCATTATTGTTAACCTATGCCCTTTTAATACATTTTTAAACAACTATGCAAGTACTCAGATCTCTGTGATTTGTGCATTAGATATTGCACTGTAACCTCATTCAACAAATTTAAATTGCTAATTTCAACCAGGATTATAGAACATCTTACACTATGCACTGCCCCTGTTTTTTTCTTAATATGAAACAGGTAACTATATTGCTTTGAAGCATGAACAAAATCTAGATATACTTTTTAATAATTCTCACTTTATAAAATTTTTCTCAAATTTTAGACATTCATGTTGATTTAAATTTTATGATTGTTTTCCAAGAATATAAATCTAATCTTTGAAATATATTTTGCTTTGTCTTGGTAAAGAAATCTACAGGGCAGCATGTTCTTACCAATTAGGAAAAAATTGCATGTGCATTCATTGCAAGAACCCTGTTGACTTACTTAGCAATTCCTTTCATAGACAGGATAGGAAGTTGACATATTATTAGTATTTTAGAAAAAACTATTTCCATCTCACATTAAAAAATTAAACTGTATGCTTTGAGGAATTGGTGAAAAGTAACAATAAGATGTTGATAGTATTGATTTTTTAAATAAACTATACCTGCCATTTGTCTCTCTATGTGATATGCCTTTTCGGAAGGTGACTGCCTTTATTCCAAGTAGTTTTGACAGATAAACTGAATGTATTTTCCTTTCTGAGCTTAGCGGAGGGCCACTAAATCCCAGGGCAGGAATACATGATTTTAAAATCTTTTCAGGAAGAGTGAAAACTGTTTGCAAAAATGTGTGTTCTTTTTTAGCTCTCCTTTGTAGATTTCTTTTAGAATGTTGTAAAAGGAGTACTTCAGGTTTGCCCTCTAGGGAAAGAGACCTGCTGAAACATAAAATATTCACCATGTATTTTCAGAAGTGCTTATTTACCGCTCGTAGTTCTTTCATAAAGGCGCTAAACTGCACATTCAGAAGTGTATCAATGCGCATTCGTACGCACACCCAGACGATGGTTTCATATTACATTTTGCTTGCATGGGATGTTAGTTTTAGTTTGTATATAACAAATTAAAAATTAATTCTTAGAGTTTTAGAATTTAGTTTCAATTCAACAAATGTTGCTTCCCTTGCCCCTATTAAGCACAAGGGATACAACACTGAGCAAGAGGAAATGTCTACCCTTAATGATCCAGGAAAGCCAGATAAAATTTTTAATGATTAAAATGTTTTGACGAGTCATATCAAAACTCCTAAAAGTGGAAACTTTTTGAAAGTTGACTGTCTCCAGTGTTTTAACATTTAATAACATGAAAGAATATACAACATACCAGGCAAAGGCTAAAGTCATCAGAAATAGGTCAGAATGTAGATCATTAATCTAAGAACAGCAGACCTGCTTTGGGGTTCAGTTGGTGTCACTCACATGGCTTTTGAATGACTAAATTCCAAAGTATTTCAATGTTGTGTCTCTAGTTTCAGACTCATGCTAGGTCTTTTGAGGTTATTGTCTTAAGCTGTTATTTATTCTTAAAAACTATTTCACTGTCCCTTACAAAACAGAAAACTTTGTTTTTTATACCTCCAGAATGTCTGGCAAACTTTGGAAAACAGTTAGGTAGTTCCTCAAAATGGGAAGCATAGGATATGCGTAAGTAAAACGTTGAGCATATGGTTATATAACCCAGCAATTTTACTTTAGGTTTATAACCCCCCAAAATAAAAACATATGTGCACACAAAGATTTGTAAACAAATGTTCATAGCAACATTTTTCATAATAGCACAAAGTGGAGAAACCCCAAATGTCCATCAACTAATGAGTAGATAAAGAAATGTGGCATATTCATGTAGTAGAATATTATTCAGCAATAAAATAAAATGGAGTACTGATAGTACTACAGCAGGGGCGAACTTGAAAAAAGTGCTAAGTGAAGGAAACCAGACAGAAGAGCACACAAATGGCATGATTCCATTTACCAGAAATGTCCAGAATAGGTAAATCCATAGAAACAGAGAGTAGATTAGTGGTTGCCCAGAGGAGAAAGGAAGACTGGTTAGTACCTGCTAATGGGTACAGGGGTTTCTTTGGAGGCCAAGGAAAAGGCTCTAAAATTAGGTAGAGGTGAAGGTTACACAACTCTTTAATACATGAGAATCTATGTAATTGTACGCTTAAAATGGGTAAATTTTGTGGTATGTGAATTATAGCTCTCAATTAGCTGTTAAAAATAAAGGCTGAATGGAAATAAAAGTCTGGCAGAATGCAAAATAATCCAGAAAGTGAAGTTTCTTGTCTTCCCTCTTGTGTTTAGATTAAATGACTCCCTTTGCTTCCCTTCCCTCTAAACATTATTTTAAGGGAATATTTCTATTAAAAAAAACTCACTGAAATCAAACACCATTATGTGTGGTCTTAACAGAGGTAAAAGCACAGGTAAAAGGCTAGTAATAACTTTGGAGAAGGCCTGTGTCCTGAATCTTTGACTCGCTGGTTTCTGCTCTGTCCTCGGGGGTCAAGCCTTACTCTACCTCTCCACAGTTTTGCTCTGTTCTCAACCTGCCCCTGACCAAGTGCCACCCAGCACTGCTCTTTACAGATGGCCCCAAAGCCCATCCTCCTTTCCACTAAGCAGGGTCTGACAATACCTTTTATTCATAGTTCTTTTTTCTAGCCAGTACTTATTATGGTTGGCCTTTATTATGGTAGACTGTAGGCCAAGCATTGTGCTAGTCATTTTCTAACTTTAAATCTCATTTTTTTAACCTCAAAGAGTTATTTTCATCATGTGAAACACAAGCTGGAGCGGGGGGGGGGGGCAA